TATTTATATAAGTTTTTTAGTAGAAAAAAATATTTTTCCATACCGTAAGAATATATATATGAAAGAAATTCAACTTAAAATCAAATTATATGTACTTTTGAATCATTTAAAATTATTACATTTAAAATTATACATATAAATGAAAATTACGTCAAAAATTTTATCCATAAAAAGTTAAACGGCGAACGGAAATGTTGAATCAAAATATACTTAGGGTTAATGACCATTTTTGTGTAAAAATTTTAATGCAAATGTGTTTTAAAATGCGAGAATAGCGTTTTGTTGTGACTTGAAAGATGAATGTTTGGATTCGTGGGTTCGATTCCTAGTTAGCGATAAAAATCTTTATATAAATATGTATAGAGCAAGAGCCCGTGAACCCCAGACCTTCGTTATTTTATAAAAGCTGAAAGTTTGTCAGCGCATGCTCCCAATACAGGTAAGAACGAAGGTCCATTATGAAATTCGGGTTGTAGTGGCTTTGGCAGGTAAACGGTACTAAAGGTGTGTAAAATACTAATATAGTTTCGTCAAATTATACAGAGCGATTTTTTGGTATTACCTTTAGAATGTTATTAAAAATCACATTATTCATTACCAGACACTTAACATCGTGGTAACCCCTTGCCAGACACCCTTAATGTTCAGGGTATAATAATTCTACTTACGTTATAGTATAAAAGCTGATTTTTATACAGGATACTTGGGTAATGAGTAGATGATATTTTTAAATTTTTGAATTTTTGAAAAATATTTCTATTTGGTTTTTCTTTTTAACTAGTTACTGGAGGAATAAATTGAAATTTTTAACAATTCCGAGTAGTTGTAGCAACGAATGTCATTTCTGAAGAAATTTTTAAAATTTACATCAGTTATTTGTCACATAAATTGGCCAAAAAGTTTATTTGGATAAGTCATTCTAATCATGAATCTCTTTTTAACATTTACATTGATTGTCCGGCAGAGAGATTGAAAACAGAAAAAAATATCTGGCTAAGGAGGAAACATCATCTAATAACTACCTAAGTATTATATAAAAATGAGCGATTTAATTATAAAGTAAGTAATGCTATTATTGATATTTTTCTTATAATTAATAATGAATATTAAATTTATCTTTAAAAATAGCATATATTAATTTTACTGACATACGCATGTACAAAGTAGTAAACAATACAAGCGCATCTCACTCGCACTCACATATATATACTACCTCGCGCTCGTTTCTACAGCGACCCTACATACTTGTCTGGCAAGGGGTTGGAACTATCAAAAATGTCTGGCTATTGAGAAAATATCATCTACTCATTACCCAAGTATCCTGTATAAAAATCAGCTTTTATACTATAACGTAAGTAGAATTATTATACCCTGAACATTAAGGGTGTCTGGCAAGGGGTTACCACGATGTTAAGTGTCTGGTAATGAATAATGTGATTTTTAATAACATTCTAAAGGTAATACCAAAAAATCGCTCTGTATAATTTGACGAAACTATATTAGTATTTTACACACCTTTAGTACCGTTTACCTGCCAAAGCCACTACAACCCGAATTTCATAATGGACCTTCGTTCTTACCTGTGTTGGGAGCATGCGCTGACAAACTTTCAGCTTTTATAAAATAACGAAGGTCTGGGGTTCACGGGCTCTTAGACTAGTACGTCACTATATGTATGTACTGTTTTAACACACTTTATACATAGCTTTGAGGTGGTAGAGCCCAGCTGTAGTTTAGTTACTACAGCTCGAACATGGGCTGGCTCGACAGGGGAAGTACCACCCTCTCACAGAAGATCGGCGTGAAGTAGTCAGTAATGACTGCGTTTCGTCCGATGAGTGAGAGAGCCGGTTGCCCTTTCCCTGTTCTCAACCTTTCCTTGTATTTTCTTATTCCCACCCCTCCCTTTTCCCCCACAAGTAAGGTTGGCAACGCATCCGCAACATCTATGTTGTGGATGTCCATGGGCGATCACTACTGACCATCAAGTGGGCCGTCTGTTCGTTTGCCACTTTTTACATTAAAAAAAAGCTCTGAGCGACACTCTAGTATATACATATAGAATACATATTATTTTCTATTTTCTTATTTAGTAATTATTAAATTTAAGTATAATATTTTCTAATCTTCTATAAATTCATATATTATGTACATTGAAGTTTGAATATTTGAGAATATAAGGCTAAGAAAGTAAAAATTACAAATAAATACTTAGTTTATTTTATAATAATTATTAATATTAACTATAAAAATTTTACTCACGATCTCAGACTATCTATGTCATCTATATCTAGTCTAGATAATCTAGTTCATCTAGTCTAAATCTAAGTTCATAATTAAACCTAGTTGTACAATTACTCGCTAAGACTCACGAATAACGAAACTTTTCACTCTGCGTATTTAGTATAAAGAAAAGAACTTGTAGTAGTCATTATAAATTTAAAATCACACTAATAATATTTGAAGTCGTTGTGGCCTAGTGGTTAAAGGCCCGCCTCTCATGCTTGAGGGCGCGGGTTCGATCCTGGCAAGTACAAGTGATGTTCCGAGTCATATGTACTTTATAAGAGTATTTAGACATCACTGATTAATGAAGGAAAACATCGTGAGGAAACATGGACTTAGCAAATTATAAGTTTGAAATCACCAACCCGTCTTGAGCAAGCGTAGTGATTAATGCTCAAACCTTCTCCATGTGAGAAGAGGCTTAGCAGTGGGCTCTGATAGGATGATGATGATTATTCATTACTTAATATTTCAATAATATTATTATGTATAGTATTTGTCCACTCCTATCAGTTAACTGACGTCCAACGGATATATATATGATAAAATTTTGTCTGTTTTCAACATTCTATATAGCAAGTTTTTTATATATAATTCGAAGCAATTATATATATATATATATATATACTAGTTTTTGCCCGCGACTTCGTCCGCGTTAGTTTGGTCAAGAGTAATATAAGTAGGTATAGCTGACCAGGCGAACTCTATTCCGTCTTAGAGGCCATAAATAATCAGGTTTTTCCTGTTTCAATCAAACAGAATGATTGACATATTGGTTAGTTGTCAAATCTAATGTCAAAAAAAAAACGTTTGTATGCGAAATAGAAAAGGGCTGTTTTTAGGGTTTTCCCGGCAATTATTCCAATTTTTCTCACCTTTTAAACCTTTCCTGGACTTCCAGGAGTATTTCAGGAATAAAATTAGCCAAATCGGTTCTGCCGTTCTCGAGTTTTAGCGAGACTAAGGAACAGCAATCCATTTTTATATATATAGAAGATTTGTATAATTAGAACACGAATCTTTTATCAAATTCTCCGATAGTTCATTCAAACCGTTACATGTAATCGGTCGAGCTTATTGCTATCATTATCAACCGGTATTTGAATTGTTTTTGGATCTCAAAATATGTAGAAACTAGTTCTCCTAACGGTTGAAGCATTAAATCAGAAAAATACTTTAGTATAACTAGCTTTCCGCCCGCGTGGAGTTCGGCTCTATCGCGTTTCCAAGGGAACCTTTCAAAAATCTGGGATAAAAACTATCCTATGTTCTTTCTCAAGGTCAACTCTATCTCTGTACCAAATTTCATTAAAATCAGTTCAGTGGTTTAGGCGTGAAAGCGTAACAGACAGACAGAGTTACATTCGCATTTATAATATTAGTAGGGATTTATAACTATCACCAAGTTCAAATTACCTTAATACGTTTTAGAAAATTTAAACGATCGAACTGCTGGTGTCAATGTTATAGTAAAGTAAAGCTAGGATTAATATATTAATTTCTTTATAAGTATGAGTTAGAAGTTTTTTTTAACTTGTGAAAATACAATCAAAAGTATTTTTTTGTTTAAGTACTTGTACATTGTTGGCATATATATATATATATATATATATATATATATATATATATATATATATATATATATATATATATACTTATTAATAATGTGATGATTCTGTGTGCTTCACACTATGCCTGGATTAATTTTAGTGAAACTTTTACTGGCAGCAGATAAAGTAGAGGAAAAATAATGTAATATGATAATAGTAGTATAGGAACAATCTAGTCTCAAAATAAACATTAATATCTACTGATGAAGTGAAGTGAAGTTGAAATTGAAGTTAATTTATCTTTATTAATGTTCTAATAAGAATTGAATACAAAACAAATTTTTACTATATGGTCAAACTAATCGCTTTAAATTTTGACTAAATAGCCATTAACTTTGTTTAATTATTTAAATTAACTTATTTAAAATATGATTTTGTTAATTATAATCGGCTAAAACACCAAATAATTGTATTTTATTTAGTAACTCTTTTTTATCACAAAGACTAGGGTCATTGATTCTAGATATTAATTTTCTTTTAATGGAAATCCGTATTCATTAATTAAAATATCTTTTAAAATGTAAGGTTTTAGTCTAAGCCGAGTTATATTTGGTAGAAATTTATGATTCTACTAATATTATAATTGCGAAAGTTTGTGAGTGAGTCTGTGTGTATATTTGTTACTTCTTCACACTCAAACGGCTAAACCGATTTTGATAAAATTTTGTATACAGGAAGCTGACGTCCAAGAATAACACATAGGCTACTTTACATCCCAGAAAATGTTCGAGTTTTCCTCATATAAGCGAAAAATCATATTTACTTACTCGAGAACTCAACTCCTAGCTAAAACGACATTATCGCTATGTACCTTTTACCGGTCTATGTAGGCACGATCGACAGCCAATAAGCATTCCTTTCGTTAAAAAATTTCCGAAATTAACGTGGACGAAATCGCGGGCAAAACCTAGTTTGTCATAAAAGTATCTCGAAATTGCGAGCGACGCTGCAGGAAAAAATAGCTTGTAATTCATATTTTGATTCAAATTTGAAGTCATTAAAAATTATGAATAATTTCATATAATAAATTAAATATATTAATATTTTCTGTATTTCATCTTAGTATATTTAGTTTTTTACATTTCAGGTCCATATGATGTCAAGATGGTCAAGATCATCTCAATTCTGCTCATCATCTGCTTTGTTGACGTGAGAGCTCAGTTTTTTGGTAAGTTACCTTAAATATGGTTACGATATTGAAGAAATTCCTTTACAATAAAAAATAGAATCTAACTATTCTGCTCATATTGGCTTCAAATTCGTAAAATGATGAAATATTTTTGCATATCATATTGTATTCCAGATTTCCTATCTGCGTTTCAACCACCGACGCTAAGGCCTATCTTCGAACCAACAAAACCACCTAGAACCACGAGGTTCCACGACCCAAATAGATCACAGAACGCAAGCTGGAAGTTAGGTCAAACTTCAGAAGTCACAACCGCGAAAACAATACGAAAAACACCAAAAAATAATCGACGTAGCCAAAATAAGACCAAAAAAATTAAAGAGAATTATGCCCCAGACAAAATATCTTTCGACGACGGTTACAACACTATAATTAATTATGACTCGGTCAAACACACCACGGTCAACCCGTTTGCACGACCGGGAGTCAAACCCGCGATAGTCAATGGTCCGCCTATAACGAATAGGCCGGTGACCAAGTCGTTTGTTCCTAGACCAATAGCAGGACTCCAGCCTCAAGATGATAGTACATTGACCCCCGAATTAATCGTGGGACCGGACGAAGATTATATGTCGATAGTGGAAAGGAGGCGTTTTATGGAATTTACGGAAAAAAGTGAGTAAAAATCTAAATAACACTTTCTAACATTATTCTTTAAATATTTTTTTGGGGTATGTCTTGTTTTTCAATTTTCATGATATATTTCATTAATTAAACTTATCGATAACTTAAAGTTACCTTGTTTACAAAGACGAAATGACAGTACCTGTCAGTTAGTGTTATTTGTCATCTACCGCAAAAAAAACTAAATTTTTTCATGTCATGTACGCTTGGTCTTAGTTTGCATCGCCAAACCTACTAATACTATAAATGCGAAAGTAACTCTGTCTGTCTGTCTATTACGCTTTCACGCCTAAACAACTGAACTGATTTTAATGAAATTTGGTACAGAGATGGAGTCAACGTTGAGAAAGAACATAGGATAGTTTTTATCCCAGACTTGAATGGTTCTCTTGGAAACGCGATATAAACGAACTTCACGCGAGCGAAACTTAGGGCGGAAAGCTAGTACTAAATAAGTTATAGTACATATTAACGTAGGTTATTAAATGAGAAATGAAATACTCTTTGTGTGTAGTGTAATCTCCTTAATTTCTGGCAATTTAAACGATAGTTAAAATATAAAATAATAATCTAAATCTACTTTCAGAGTCATAGTTTCATTTGAATGTACATATATGTTATTGGTAACAGACATTCGATTATTATACATTTAAAGGTATATATTAATTTTGATGTAAGTTGTATTATTCCATTCACTTTACTCATATTTCAGACATAGTTACTTTTACAAGGTTACCAACAATACAATGTTGTTATTAATAGTTCATATAAATACATTTATGTGTAGAAAAACTACACTTATAATGTAGTACTAGCTTTCCGCCCGCAGCTTCGCCGCGTGGAGTTCGGTTATATCGCGTTTCCAAGAGAACCTTTCAAAAGTCTGGGATAAAAACTATCCTATGTTCTTTCTCAAGGTCAACTCTATCTCTGTACCGAATTTCATTAAAATCAGTTCAGTGGTTTAGGCGTGAAAGCGTAGCAGACAGACAGACAGACAGACAGACAGACAGAGTTACTTTCGCATTTATAATATTAGTAGGGATTAGATGAAAAACAGACAAAATTAAACCTTTTTTATTATAAGAGTAACCGAGAGTAGGAAGAAATTTCAAATAAAACATTTCAATCGAAATTGAACCTTATTTACAAAGATTTAAAGGTCAAATACGCATAAAAATTCCAGAATGTGAGCAGTACGTATCATTGGACACTGTTCGTGTTGAAGCCATACCCCTCGTACCATCACCTCGTCCGGTTGTCGTTAACGTGTCATCTTGTGCTCGCTCCGTGCCTCTCGTGGTAGGAGGGAGCGTCGTCACGATACAGCAATTCCCACACATGGCGTTGTTAGGTTGGACCAAAATGCGGGTAAGTCGACAAACAAGAATAATTTGGGCCATAGAAATGTAATGTAAATGTCATTTTGGTGCTATAATAGCTCTTGTCAGGATTCTGCGATGCTATTTAAATCAGATCAAAATCGGTCCAGCCCTTGGTTATTGAGAAAGTGTTATTTTCTATCATACACTCAAGTGCTCGTTCAGAAGAATACATATGTTCTCACAAAACAGAATCTTTAGCAGAGTATTATAACATAAAAGTTATTTATATGAAACAACATATTATAACACCGTTACTATAAAAATTTAAGGATCAATAATATTTTTTATAATAATGTCAACTATTTAATTAAAATACACTTCATTTATTTATACATAATATCTAGAGATAATTTCGAAACCACGTACATATTGAGTCGTCGATATTTTGACTTGCAATTTTTTTGGCAATGAAGACATCTCAAGAAAATTTAATTAAAATGAAAGTCAAATATCTCAAGTTATTTTTTGTCCAATTTCAGTCTGGTGGCTACTTGTGGAAATGTGGTGGTTCACTCGTGAGTGAGAGGTATGTGCTCACGGCGGCCCACTGCGCCTATCAAGACAAAGACGACAGCGTTGTGAGGTAAAAATTTCATCCACAATACAGTTTCATCCAAGAATATCCAACATTTATCATTAACTAGCTGCGCCCCGCGGTGTTACCCGCGGAGTTCCGGGATGTAAAGTAGCCTATGTGTTATTCCTGGACGTCAGCTTCAAAAAATCATTTCAGCCGTTTGAGCGTGAAGAAGTAACAAACATACACACACACTCACAAACATTCGCAATTATAATATTAGTAGGATTGTTTATTTAAATCCGCAAAACTTCCTCTCCAAACAAAAAAATACCTTCTTTTCTTGAACCACCGCCTAGATGTACATAGAAACTGAAAATTAACTTCTAATTTTTGAGCTTAAAACGATCACATCACAAATCAAAGTCTTTAAACAGTCTAATTCATTTCAAACAAGTTAAATTCCATTTTTTAACTAAAAAAACACTTTAATGGTCTTTTTCTACATTAAATAATATATTTTGAACATGAAAGAATCTAATATGAATAAATAAAAGTCTAATACAACTCTAAATTCATCTCAAGCAGATTTAATTCCATTTTTTCCCAAAAAACTACATCAATGGTCCATTTCCACATTAAATTCCCAATGTTAATATTAAAAATATCTCATCTAAAAAATTTCAAGTCAATCCCAACTCTAACTCATCTTGCCCAAGTTAAATTCCATTTTTTACCCAAAAAACCACATAAATGGTCCATTTCCACATTAAATACCAAATATTAATAGTTAAACGATCTCATCTAAAGAATTTCAAGTCTATCCCCATTCTTATTCATTTCAAACGAGTTAAATTCCATTTTTTACCCAAAAAACCACATCAATGGTCCATTTTCTCGGTTCCAGCGGTCCACCAAGAGCGGTTCAGCTCGGCTCCTCACGTCGGGATGATCCCGGTGCCATAGTAATCCGCGTGTCATCTGTAATAAGACATCCCAAGTATAGACCTCCGCAGTCATACTACGATATAGCCATTGTAAAAATGATGAAAAATGTCAAGTGAGTTTATTAACACCTTTTACCCGCGGATTTTCGGGATTTCCGGGTTATAAAGTAGCCTATGTCTCATTCCTGGACGTCAGCTTCCTCAATACAATATTTTATCAAAATCGGTTCAGCCGTTTGAACGTGAAGAAGTAACAAACATACAAACACGCTCACAAACTTTCGCAATTATAATATTAGTAGGATGATTTTGATAGTTACTTTTCTATTCTAAAAAAATATATTCAAAAAACATACGTTGTTTTTATATCAGCTACTAAATCAGTGGTGTCCTAGTGGTTAAAAGGCCCGCCTCTCATGCACGAGGGCGCGGGTTCGATCCCGGCAAGTACCAATGTGATTTTTCCGAGTTATATGTACTTTCTGAGAGTATTTAGACATCACTGATTAATGCATTCCCAAAGAGGGTTGATGTCAGGAAGGCAAACAATTAGCCAAAACTATGCACAACATGTAAGGCAGACCCTGGCTAGAGCTGGGAAACTGCCAGGAAGAAGAAGATGATAGTTACTTTCTTATTCTGAACATATATAAACAAAAAACAGACGTTGCTTTTATATCAGCTATTGTTAAGAGAAGTTTCATTGAAATTTGATTTAAATGATCACAATACTGATAAAATATAGAAAAGAAATAAAAGATACATTTATTCATGCAGTTTACAAGAAATATCTTATTTCAATACATATACATATACATATATATATGTTTTTTTATGTTATTATCTAGATTCTCAGCCGTAATAAAGCCAGCCTGTTTGGGAGTACCACCAGCTGCCGGGAAACATATCATCGCTACTGGCTGGGGAAAGACAGAGTTTGGTGAGAAACACAACATATATATACACACTAGCTTTCCGACCGCGTGGAGTTCGGTTATATCGCATTTCCAAGAGAACCTTTCAAAAGTCTGGGATAAAAACTATCCCATGTTCTTTCTCAAGGTCAACTCTATGTCTGTACCAAATTTCATTAAAATCAGTGCAGTGGTTTAGGCGTGAAAGCGTATTTTCCATTGTTAACCCCCCGCGACCCCCCTTGTGAGTGGAACTTCGTAAAATCCGTTCTTAGCTGACCTCTGCTCGGCGAGAGGAATAATCCTACCAAATTTCAAGTCGCTACGCCTTATGGTTCTAGAGATATCGTGATGAGTCAATATATAGGTGGAAATCTCTTATATATATACATAAAGGATCCTTACAATAGAATATAAATAATGAATATATAAAAAACAATTAAAAATCACTTAAGAACACCTCCTAGATTCATATAGATATAAAAATTGTGTCGATTCAAAATAATTTTCTCATTAACCAAATTTTGGCAGCGGGTTAATGACCATTGAAGAAAGAATTGAGGTCAATGACAGTGAAAAAATAAGGAAGAACAATTAATTAAATACATATAAAATACTCAAATAAATTTATTTTCTGTAATATATTATGATATACTGTATACATATACATCTTGAGCGATTGGTAATTAATGCTCTAACCTTCTCCATGTGAGAAGAGGCTCAGCAGTGGGCTCTGATAGGATGATGATACTCATACCGACTTCAAACTAACAGCACCCATTTTTGTTTCGCTGGTTTAATAGATAAATATTTTTTTCTCCTTCTCTTCGTATCGCTCTATGATCAAGAAATATCTGTTACGTTTTTTTATTTATATTTTTGGAGTTTACCTATTAAAGCCAGAAATCTCCGTGTTTTGAAGTGCGACAGAATGATTGACATATAACATTTGTATCAACAACTACTAATAAAATAAAAATTAATTAAAAAAACCATTGTCCAGCGGACAAAATTGTGAATCTAAACCATTCCCAGATCCCCTTTAACACACACAAAAAATTTCATCAAAATCGGTACAGTCGTTTAAGAGAAGTTCAGTGACATACACACTCACAGAAGAATTGTATATATAAAAATATATCTGTTTATTCAAGGTGGAGATGAATCCGAACTGCTAAGAGGTGTTTCACTGCCAGTGTGGAGTTTGGAGGAGTGTGCGTCAGTTTTGGGAGAATCGAGAAAATTACCGCGAGGACCTGACCGCAGTCAGACATGCGCTGGAGATAGAAGAGGGGGAAAGGATACGTGCCAGGTAAAAATATATAGACACACACACACACACATATACACCCATATATACATATATACATATTTATTTATTTATTTATTTTTGTACCAACAAAGTATACAGTGAATTAAGTCAGTTAAAAGAGCCGGCTCTCGATTTCGGTTCGATCCTGGTTAAGGTAAGTACCGATGTGATTTTTCCGAGTCATATGTACTTTCTAAGAGTATTTAGACATCACTAATTAATGTTGATTCCCAAAAGTGGGTTGATGTCAGGCAGGCGGTCGGTCGTAAAAACAATAAGCCTAAACTATTCACAACATGTAAGGCAGACCCTGGCTATAGCTGGAAAATTACCAGGTAGAAGAAGAAGAAAGTATACAGTAAATTATTTAATTACAGATGTGTACAAGGGATAACTTATCTCTAACAAGAGATCTCTTCTAGAAACCCTGATTATAGTTGAGATTATTTGTTATACATATTTATGGTGTAGGTACAATATCAATAAACTACTTATTATTATAAAATTGCAGTAGATTTTTTTAAACGAATACATTACACATATATATAATGAGTTGGATTCGATTTTGCGACTGCCAAAACAGGCCTCTTAGCCATATGCCTAACTAAGCTATTGTCCGTACTAGATAAGATAAATTCATTATTCTATGTAAATTATAATTATTTCATATTCATATACATGTATATCAGATAAAGATGGTTTAACTTAATGTCTACTTAACCGATCAAGAATTAAGTATTACTAACTACCTCATACTAAACGAAACTAATATTTTTGGATTTTAATTCGCGTATTTATTTTAGATTACAAACTACATACTCCCGACGTTTCGGCTACTTTTCAGAAACTAAATTAAGACGAGACGATACCTCATACTAAGAAATTCATGGAATAAATCCCATACAACTATCATACACTAATAAAACCAATCATTTTTCTACAGGGTGATTCTGGCGGGCCGGCTCAGCTGCGTGAAGGTTGTTCGTGGAGGGTAGTCGCTGTTACATCAACAGGCAGAGCGTGCGGCGCGATCGATACACCCGCTATATACGCAAACGTACAAATACCATTCATAGCCAAAGTCATCTTCGGCGATGAGATCAGGAATGAAGGGAATTTGAATACGGATCAAGAAAATCAGTGGAACAGTGGCTATAGTGGTGAAAATGGACAAAATAAGGATAATAAACAGAATAATAGTGCTCAAAATAATAATCGACCAAATGTTGATCGTGTACAAAATGATTATAACCGGCCAAGTGTTGACCGTGTACAAAATAATTACAATCGACCAAGTGTTGATAGTGTACAAAATAATTACAATCGACCAAGTGGTGACCGTGTACAAAATGATTATAACCGCCCAAGTGGTGACCGTGTACAAAATGATTATAACAGGCCAAGTGCTGACCGTTTACAAAATAATTACAATCGACCAAGTGTAGACCGTGTACAAAATGATTACAATCGACCAAGTGTTGATAGTGTACAAAATGATTATAACCAGCCAAGTGCTGACCGTGTACAAAATAATTACAATCGACCAAGTGTAGACCGTGTACAAAATGATTATAACCGGCCAAGTGGTGACCGTGTACAAAATGATTATAACCGGCCAAGTGGTGACCGTGTACAAAATGATTATAACCGGCCAAGTGGTGACCGTGTACAAAATGATTATAACAGACCAAGTGGTGACCGTGTACAAAATAATTACAATCGGCCAAGTGTTGATCGTGTACAAAATGATTATAACCGCCCAAGTGGTGACCGTGTACAAAATAATTATAACCGGCCAAGCGTTGACAATGTACAAAATAACTACAACCGACAAAATAACCAATGGTATCAACAACCAACCAGCAACCCGTTAAATAATGATAATTACCAAAATCCAGTTTACAGAGGAGATGACACCGAAGATTCAACGATTGGTCCTCATTATTACTTCGAGGATAGTGTGAATAGACCTTATATAGGTAACATATGGCAGACTTGATATTATATATAGACTAGTCAGTGGTGTTCTAGTGGTTAAAAGGCCCGCCTCTCATGCACGAGGGCGCGGGTTCGATCCTGGCAAGTACCAATGTGATGTTCCCAGTCATATGTACTTTATAAGAGTATTTAGACATCACTGATTAATGCATCCCCAAAGAGGGTTGATGTCAGGCAGGCGGCCGGTCATTATTATCCAAAACTATACACAACGTTTAAGGCAGACCCTGGCTAAAGCTGGGAAATTGCCAGGTAGAAGATAGACGCCATTGAACATTTTTTATATGCCGCTTGGCTGTCACCGCATTTGTAATGCCAATATACACATATAATAAGTGTGAAAGTGTGTTTGGACTTGTTTTAGAATTAACTGTGACGATTGTTATTTATATGTTATGTATTTGTATATAATATTTTATTATTTTAATGATAATTTTAAGTTTTATATACAGCGACATCTAGTGCATGATAAATAAAGTGATATTTGAGATTTTGAAAATTGAATCATGTACATTTGAACAATAAATTTAAATCGTATGTTAAATTGAAATAAAATGTATTTATTGTTAGTTTATATGGAAATGTTACTTAGAGATAAAAATAGTGCGTGGAGTCCCTACGCGCGAAAGGAGTGAAGCTTCGTAATGTTAAAATGAAAATAGGAAGAGATAGAAATTAATTTTAGTGAAGTCATATTGTTTTAAGACAAACTTTATAAACATTGCTTACAATGTAATTGTCTCACTCATTCACTGTCGCTCCGTCTCTTTCTATCTCCTCCAGTAGCGTTGAACGTTTAACGCAACCATGTTGGAAGTCGCATTAGAAGTTTCACTTCAAAAAATGAGATTACACAAATAATAGATCAGTGAATAAGTATTTTAGGTAATTTAAGTGTTTTTTTTATTTAAATGTATCTTTTATGGTATAAGATTTTAAATTGCTCAATATATAAAAATTATTGCTCAAATTTTTGATTCTGGATCTCAAAGAATCGTTTTATATATGAAGATTTTAAGTATCATTAACTCTCTACTGACAGTTTCAAAGTTGTGTACTGAAAGTATGATGGTTTGCAATAAAACCCGTACTAAACACCAGTCTTAACTGTATATTATGATTCAAATATGAAATTGAACATAATAATTGTAATTAATTGTGACAAATAACTGTATATAACCGATTTAATTCTCATTTTGACCGATGTTAATATATTAAATAATAAAAAACCGGTGATAAATATGTATAATGTAAATTAAATAAAAAATAAATGTGACAATTGACAATTTGTCATTTTTATTCGTGACAGATGATTTGAAATCTTTATATAGTCTTATTGGAGTACTGTACATACATATAATTCTTAATTAAATTCAAATAAGTTTACAAATATTAAAATTATGTTACCAAAATTTTTAGCTTTCATATTCAATGATTAATGTGACACTACAAGTGTTGCAATATTAAGATGTAAAAGTTGAACAGTAACTAACGCTTTTTCAGAAATAAGTTGAATTAAGTTTTGCTAAATATTAAAATGTATGTTGTTTTTGTAAATAAAATATATAATATGTAGTTTTATAAGGATTAATAGATTTTTGATGAATCCCAATCGACCCTCACATCCAGCTCTCTTATTATAAGTTCTGTTTATAAGTATTACTCTGTAATAAAAAGTATGAAAATAGAGTGTCATTTATTTATTAATTTCAATGTACGACATACATAAGTAATTAAATAATTCAAAATATCTGATTTCTTTCTGGAAAATTTAAACAATATTGTTTTTTTTTTACAATAATTATGAGTATTTTATTTTTCCCATGTATTGATATCGTATTATTATTAATTTATAATAAAGTTATTATTCAGAAGACTTGTTTTTATTATAATTTCTAATATTTTTTATCATAATATCTTTCATTACCTATATTTATTTTTTGATTTTAATAAATCTAAATCTTAATTTAAGCCCGTGATAGGATGGTTAGTAAGCCATCAGCATTTCATCATTCCCTTTACCTCAACCAAAATTATCTTAAAAAAAGAAATAAGGTTTTTACACCACATTTCAGGTTAACAGAGTACTTTTGCAACATAAGGGGTGTATATATTATTCTAATCTCAATGCAATCCATCACTTACAAACGGTAAAGCCGGCTTTGTTATTTCTGACCGAGACACAAATATTTACTCCTGGTGATACATAGTATATTTATTCTGAGCACATAACAATCTCATAGCTTCCCTATATCCCGAGTCACTAGCTCCGTGGACAGTAGAGAAATGAGTTAAGTCAGTGGCCTCTCCCGCGAATAACACGCGTGGGACTCCCTTGGAGTCCGTCAGAGGAGCCCCGAGGTCGGCCCTAGCGCTCGGGTGCTCCGCCATCAACAGATTGTCGTAGGAGTAACAGCCGCGTGTGAATGGATTAGAGAACCACGTGCTTCTTAACACGCCCGTCGGTTCTGGGATCGACATGTTCTTTCCCATGAACATACGAACTACCTCCATACTCTTAGCTTTCACAACGTCTTCTGGTAATGTTTCGACCTGGAGAAAAAAATGTAAGATTTAGAAAATTAAGATGTACACAGCACGTATCTACTTTTTGTATTTACTGACAAGTATTTTTATACTCAAGAATCTTTTTAAATAACTCAAACCTACTTTTTCTATTTAATATGAATAAGCAAAGACCTACCAACTTGGTCCACTCTCCGATAGTCCAAAGCTCCAAAGTATTATCGGATCCTTTAATGGCACTAATATCTTTTAAGCTGACTTGCCACTTCTCGTATTTCTCTTTATCAGGTTTCAGCCACTGGAATATATAAGCTGCCTTTTCTGGCCACCAGCGCTCGGCAAATGATAGTATTATTTTGCCCACGACTCCTATCGGTATTGTCTCAATAGCTGTTACCTTTTCATTTGGTAATGCCGGCGAGAACAATGCTTCATGTCTGAAAATTAATTATTAGAAGTTTAATATCTATATAGTGGAAGGACTTTTAAACAATTATAACCACCCACCTTTCCTTCAACACTCCGAGTGAGACCGTCACTATAACATTATCAGCGGTGAAGACACTTCCATCAACACAGCTCACCTCAACGTCTCCGGGTGAATCTCTCGGCCACTTTATTAATTTCACTTCTTTGTTCAACTTTATGTCCAACGTGGGCCAGCCTGGGCCATTCTTATATTTATTCTGGTGTTAAAAGTTGAAGTTTAGTAACACAGGATAGTTTTAAAGTATGGTATCGAGTATTCCTTTTCTCATTATTCTATTTCTCATATGTTGGATAAAGTTTAAGATTATACACCAACAGACTATAGGTCCATATCGTGAAAATATGGACCTCGAAAAGTGTAATAATAATGTATTCCACGGCTATTCTGGATAAAATTTGGGGAAAATCTATTGTAAATTATATTAACCCTTCCACACCTACTAGTAAAATGTCGAAGAAGGTCTTATATCCATGCCTGTGCCAGCTCATATTCTGACTGCCTCCTAGTGGCACGTACTTGCTGTTGGACGATGCGTCGTTCCAATTGTTTGAACCTTCGTATTCATCAACAACTATATCAGCAATTTCAAGGAACTCCTTCATAAACTCCGTGTCATTCAAGATATTGGGATACTTGTCTTCTAGATACGCCGTTAACCTTGTTTAAGAAATTAATGAACAAAAACGCCTGTTGCATTCTAAGAGCAAAAATATTCTAAGTAACTTTAGCTATTTCTTATTGCAAGGCGATATTGACGTTACTTATTCAGTATGATATTGTTTTATGAACAATAAATTGGAAGATTTTTTTATGGGAAAAGGGAGCAATCGAGCAATCAGCCTGCCTGATGGAGGTAGTACCGTCGCCCATGGACATTCGCAACGTAGATTTGAGGATGTGTTGCCGCCCTTGGTTGGGGAAAAGATGGGAAAGAGAGGAAAAGGAAAGGGAAGAAAAGTATGGGAAAAGGGAAAGGGCAACCGGCTCTCACGCAGCAATAAAACGCAGCCATAAAAGACTACTTTACGCCGATTTTCTGTGAAAGGGTGTTACTTCCCCGGTCGAGCCAACCCATGTTCGAGATGTAGTAATTGACCACAGCTAGGCCCACCACCTCACAAACAAAAGTAATGAAATTGAGTAGTGTTTGAAACAAAACAACAATGTACTGACTTCCTTGTTATATATTTTCCAAGAGGTTCAGGTTTCTCGGGAGAAGTGCCCATCGTTTTAAGACAGAAGTTTAACATTTCAAAAACAACATTGTCTCCCAAAGTGCCATCAGATTTATAAACCAGTTCATCATACTCCTGTTGTAATATGGTGACGTCGTTTCTGATCGCTGCTTCGTATACAGGACTGTTTTCTATCCCATGTATCCTAGAAACAATAATTATAAATTAATGCTTTAATAAAAGATGTAAATAATGTAGTTTAAGTCAGAAAATTAAGAAAAAATCGCCATTGACTAAACTAAAAGAATAATGGCTCATGCAGGCAATTGTATATCAAGGTTAGTACATACCATTCAGCTCCTAGTTCCACTACTCCATCCCCGAACTCCACCGTGTGAACTCTTCCCCCGACCCTGTCCTGAGCCTCCAACGCTAACACTCTCTTGCCAGACTTAGCTAGTGTTGAAGCTGCTGTAGCTCCGGCAGCACCCAGACCGACAACTATAGTGTCATATCGGGACATAGTTCTGAAAACATAACAGAACCAGTCATATTCAAAACGTTTTTAGCTAGCTTCGATGCTGCGGTTTTCCTCGCAGAACAGAGACAAACAAGTACTGTAATATCATGTCTTGACTCTAAAACAATTTACGTAATGTTTTTTTGAATGGGCTGAAAAGACTTTTAACGGAATTGTGTAAATCTTTTTTATATCCGACTGGATAGTGCTTGACTGTCATTTAAATGCTGGAAGGTTTAAATGAGGTTGTAGGTGGTAAAAGCCAACTATAATGAGAAAAAAGAAATATACACTTTCTCAAGAATGTCCTAAAAAATTGTAATTACCTTAATCTGTTGTTTAATATAGAGCCTTTAGATAATGTATCCTTTCTGCTCTAGTAGGCTTTTCCTCTCATAGAACAGATTCTTATATATATGATTGTATTTATATCATCACTCACACGAAGCTGTTAACATGATGTAGCGTCAGCAGAGATAGGAACAGAACGAATCGCTTCTCCATCATGTTTAGATGTAATCAATTACTATTATTATGCATTTATATATCTAAGACATTTGTAAGAGCTATATATTTCATGTACAACTAGTCTAAAACCGCAGTTTGTTTGGGATAACAAATATATCGTCCAGAAAGTTCGTCCCTATTCTTAGAATAAGAGCTGATTTTTTAAATATATTAACCTAAATTAATAAATTTAAATTTATTTATCGTTAATCTTCCTCAGACATCTCAAATTCTTTGTCAACTCTTAGTCTATAATATATAAACATTACAAATCAAAGGTTATTGCAAACAACATCTAGGAAACAATGTTTATTAACAATTATTGCTACATAATTCATTACTAGATTAACATATACAGACATGCAAACACGAAACAACAATATATATGCACAAAAAAATATTACAATAGGACCTGCGTCCGCGACTTCGTCCGCGTGGAGAAGTGGCTTTAGGCAACATTTTTTTATACAGGGTGACTGGTGAATTACTATCAATATTTAAGGAGAATACTCGGTACATGATTCTCATTAGAATTATGTAAAAAAATAGGTACTTAATTTTTGACCAAATTTCCGTATAAATAAATAAAATGTGGACACGTTCCAAGTGTTCCAAGTGTGGCGGCGTGCTGATACAACACCACGCCGCCGCACGCGCGCGTGTGTGTGTGTGTGTGTGTATACCTAATCTGTAGGGTGTTCACACGATGCATAATTAATTACATAACTTTTGGTTAACTTTACTTAGAAGTTTATTAATATTTATGTTATATTAATTTTTATTTTGTCATATATGATCGTCAAATATCACGTCCTCAAGTATCGATAGTAATTCACCAGTCACCCTGTATATTAAAGAGAGAGCTCATTTCATACTGCTAAGGTCCAATCTTTTGAGGTTTAAAATAAATTGACAACTTCCATTTAACGTGACAACAACCGTTTCAAATAGCAAATTTTAAAACTCTTGAGCATTTTCGTTGCCTTCCCTATAAGTAAAAATCTCAGATTCATTTGATAATCCATAAAATTCGATGAAAAAACGGGCCCCACAGTGGCGCGGTTTTCGGCGAGGTTTTTATACCCACTCCTTCAAACGCTAGAAACTTTAGGTATGGATGTTTATATTAGATTCTTTTTATGAACCGAACTCAAAATATTGAGTGAAGGTTACCAAAATATTACACTGAAAACCTCATCTAGATCGGACAAGCCGTTGCTGAGATAAGCGTGCATAAACGCATAGACAAACAGATGACTAAGTAACAAAAATCATTGTTTTGAGTACTGCATTCATAGAGGTTTCCTATAATATTTTTAATATACATATATCATTAATGTACAGACAGCGGGCCCTTAAATTTTTATTATATGTATAGATTTGGGAAAGATATTGTTTTGTTTATACTCTATACTATTAAAACATTTAACTTATTTATTATTACTTTTTTAATTATTGCTTTAGAAATACCATCTGCATGTCCACAAATCATATTTGGGAAAAAACATAAAAAAAGAAAACTTATACAGTGTGATACGCCATTACAGGTATTTACATTTTACAACTTACATGTTAACAAAGGTATCTAAACACACTCAAAACATTTAATAGAATCTGTGAGAATAAATTTTAAACAAAGTGAAGAAAAAAAAATACAACAATATCAATACAATAAGATAACAAACAAACATTGATAACAAAAAGGAAGTTATAATTATTTGACTTACCAACAACTGTAATATTTTAAATATCAATTACTAACTAAAACAGTATTTAATTTTTTTTTAAACTATCACTACTTAGGCTGTATATGTCGATTACATGGGTATTAATTTCATTGTAGGTTCTCATACAGCGAATTAAAGGCGAAAATTTTCCGACATTTGTGCGATATCTAGGAATGGCGAAGGTGCTTTTAATTGGATATCGAGGAATGGTTTTCGGAACATATAAATTTATTTGAGAAAGTAGCTTTGAAGAGTCTATTGAGTTGTGAATGAGCTTATGTAAACACATTAAGTCATTCAGAGACCGTCGTTTCTCTAATGTATCTAGCTTGAAATATTTCAAATGGTTACATAGTCTGCCCAATATGGACAGTGCCTGTCTTTATATGCTAAAAATCTTGTAAAACCCTGTTGAATTTTTTCAAGACGACTTTTATAAATTTTGTAACTTGGGCTCCAAACTGGTGATGCATATTCTAAAACACTACGAATTAGGGAACGATACAACGTTATAATAGCTTGAATATTTTTAAAGTCACGACATGTTCTTTTAATAAAACCAACGAGTTTCAAGGATTTCTGTATAATTTTGTTGATATGATTACTTAACTGTAATTTTTTGTCAATAACTACGCCCAAATCTCGGACCTCTTCAACTTCCGCTAATTCTTTATTATTAATAATGTAGTTATATGAAATTATGTTTCTGTTTTGAGTATCATTTTATTGTTATTGCACCACTGTTGTACTGAATTTAAATCGCGTTGCAGAAGTTCTGCATCGTGAATAGTTATAATTGGCCTGTATAACATTAAATCGTCAATGAAAATTGTACATTCACTATGATAAATGTAGTTCTCGATATCGTTTATAAAAAATAAAAATAATATGGGTCCGAGATGGGAACCTTAATCGTGAAGCATATTTCAAATTATAAATATTTAAAAAACTTATAATATAAAGTAGCCATATATATTCTGTGTCTGTCATCATCTTCCTCTCTCTGTAGATCCTCATATAGTATTCATGACACACGACTCCTCACGACTGAGAGCGTTCTGACCTGATGCTCTGCCTCCTTCAGTACAGTCCCATACATCCTTAATACTCATCCCATACATACTCATATACTTTCTTCCGACCCAAGGGGGAAGTTTGACGTATATGTCCGGCTCTCCAGGATAGGCCCGGACCTACTCACTAAACCTCAACAATCATCCTCATCGCTTTAGTATAACGCCACTGGGTAGCTTTGCATTCGACCGTGACGCTTTGGAGAAATATCGAAAACCTAAATAAGGGTGCTCGAATACTAGTTACACCCTTACGGTACAGAAATGTTTCGGGCGAAAGGGCAACAACAAACTTTTCTCGCCTGTGCTCTGTCAACTATTTAGGTACCAAGCTGTGAGCATAGTCCCGATTTCGTTTAAAGATAGGATGAATCACATTCACGGTAAATTCTGGCTAATAGCAACATCTTTCGTCAATTATTGTGTCCAAAGGTTACGTTAAATTTAAAGAATGACATTATAAATGTTGAAATAAAATTAAACTTGTATATCTTGTGAAGTACCTATACAAAAATATTAAATTAGGTTTGGATTTATGACATATGTAAATAGATTAATTTATTAGACAAATAGTCTAGTAGTAGTAAGAAGTGTATATATATATATATATATATTTCCTTATCTAACTCGGTGAAGATCTTTAGATGACCTCTTAAACGTTCTTCAAACAAAAGCAAACTTACATAATAACTATTTGTAAACAATAAATTTTATAATACTAGTTTTATCTCGCGACTCCGTCCTCGTGTACATCAGAGTGTCTCTCAGAGCTATGTATAGAGTGTGTTAAAACAGTACATATAGTGACGTACGTCGAGGACTTTTTAAATAATTAATACATCTAGACTATTACGTACGTGCTACATATGAAGAAAAAAATGAATATCGCCGGGGCGACATCGTTGTATGTATAATATATAACTCTTGACGTCGCTGACTCCGCGGAACGAACACCAAGCCGTGTGAACCAGAAGATGCCTGATACACACAAGCTATGGAATGGTATTGCTATCCTAACATCGGGTCAATCATGTAGTCTTAGGTGTAGGTTATAAGTTTTAATATGTAATTCTTATTATAATATACATATTTATAAGTATGTTTCGTAGTATTCCTGGAACCTCCAGTTGCCACCCTATATAATTACGCTGTTAATAATAATATAATAAAACTCATGTATATAATGAAAACTTTTAACACCCTATAATATTATAACACAGTGAAAGTTTAGGTTGAGATGAAGTATATAAATAGTAATATATTAAATTACTAGAAGACCCGGCGAACATCGTGTCGCCCTATAATCATGAAATAAACGTAACCGTTTTTTTTATTTATATTTTTGGAGTTTACCTATTAAAGCCATAAATCTCCGTGTTTTGAAGTGCGACAGAATGATTTGTTAGAATTGTCAAATCTAATGTCAAAAAAAAAAAAGTTTGTATCAACAACTACTAATAAATTAAAAATTAACTAAAAAAACATTGTCCAGCGGACAAAATTGTGAATCTAAACCATTCCCAGATCCCCTTGAACACACACAAAAAATTTCATCAAAATCGGTCCAGACGTTTGAGAGAAGTTCAGTGACATACACACACACAGAAGAATTTTTTATATATATAAAGATAAACTTCACACACACTATCATGACTCTAACATATACAGGTAATGTTGTTTTTCACTGTAATCAATTAATTAGGATCCAGTAGCAATTTATAAGCAAATTCAGTTTCAAATATATAAAAATTTCATGTTTTAATATATTTTAATTACATTTATTTATTTATTCTCATCAGGCAATAGTCGCATCGCTTCCCTGTATCCCGAGTTACTAGCCCCGTGGACAGTTGAATATTGTGTTGGATGTGTAGCTTCACCCGCGAATAACACGCGTGGGGCTCCCTTGGAGTCCGTCAGAGGAGCCCCGAGGTCGGCCCTGGCGCTCGGGTGCTCCGCCATCAACAGATTGTCGTAGGAGTAACAGCCGCGTGTGAATGGATTAGAGAACCACGTGCTTCTTAACACGCCCGTCGGTTCTGGGATCGACATGTTCTTTCCCATGAACATACGAACCACCTCCATACTCTTAGCTTTCACAACGTCTTCTGGTAATGTTTCGATCTGGAATTAGAAGGAAAAATCAATATCATATACATTATTACATAATTATTTAACTCGGCAGTTTTTTTTTTGTCGA